TGACCCGGAGGTGGTGTACTGCTGTCTCCAGAGGCTGTCAGTCACTGCGATGTTCCCCCAGGGTGCATCGATCTTCCCTAAGGTCTTATAGAAGTCGAGGTTGCGTAATTGAGAACCGCGGTCTAACATGTCTGGATCCGTGTTTTACAAGCGTGCTGGTGGAATAAAGTTTACTTCCCCGATTGATCGAAAAAAAATACAATGAAGTCGTCTTGAATTCTTGAAGGTTTGCCAAGAGAAACTACAGTTTCTACATGCAACAAAACTTAACAATGTTTAGTGGTAGATGTTCAAGGGTTAGGTGTAACAAGTCGTTTGCTGCAATATAGCCAGCTGCCGCCGCGCCGCGTGCCTGCGAAGCTGGTGTGTTAGGGCAAAGGGCGGTTATACCGGCTATAAAGATACAGGTACAGATGCAGGTGTGTTGAAGGACTGTTTTCGGCAGCACAGAAATCCATTTTGTTTTGAAGAATATTTGCCAGAGTAACGTATGTGTGTGTTAAGCATACATGACTGCGTAAAATGAATCTTACTTCTCTGATTTGTCGTTTGGCAAATAAAGTCCTTATCATAATCCGTCAAGTTGTCATGTCTACTTATTTCATTTGATGTATTGTGGATTTTAAAAATCCTTTAAGTTTCAACTCTTGCAACAATATTAATTTTACACATAGGTCTACGTTATCACAAGACACAGTGCAGCCTGCAGACATACACTGTCCAAAATTTCCAGAAAATTGCCGGTAGTACCGAACGTTCAGTCGTGAGTTATTCTAAGGCTTCAGGAGTGTTGAACATACGAGATGGCAAGCCATGTGTTGGTCTGTGATAACAGTTAAAGGGAGACCCATATGTATTATTTTTGCCTTTTAATGTACATTCTAGCATATGACCTTTCTACAATAAATAAAGGACAACCACTGTAACACTACACTGTAACATGTGCATGTAGTATCATAAAACGATTCTTCACAGCATCCCAGTCTCATACATAATTTTCAAGTTTCGGATCCACCGAATATAGGCAGCCGTTAATGTTTGCTAGTTGAACTTGAACTTGAAGAGTAGCTCACCTTCACCTTGTCGGTGCTAATGGTTGCCAGTAATGTAAGTAGGAGAACAAACAGATGCCTGGATTTGCCTCACGCAGTGCACCATGTGTAATCAGGTTTCTCAGCTTTATGTTGTTAATTGCAGAAACAGTGAAACGTCCCAAGACTCAGTTTCTTGGTTTCTTGCCATGTTCTGAAGATACCCTTAGGCGACTTTGATACAGTGCAATGACTTTGCATGGTTGGAAGTGAGCGTTTAGAGCGTTGAATCGTCTTGAAACGTCGGTCTGTTAATCAAAAGCGGGTGCAGAAACACTTTTCTCCGGTTGTCTGATGGCGGTAGTCACGTCTGTTGTTGTACCTGCTACTTATAACGGCCATCAGCGAGCTCAGCAATTTTAGACTGTCATTACCTGGGGAAGTTTGGGATTACAGGTTACCTTTAAGTCTAGCTGTTCAGCACATGTTCAAGGTGCTTCTCGCTCCGGGAGGCTTCTAAAGACTGTTTTTCCACGCCGGGATTTTAATGAAAGGGATATTGAACAAAGTCTGACGCTAGTTACGCGATTTTTCATCATGATACCCTCGATCTGCAGGAGAAAGTTGTCAAAGTCAAACTTGAACTCCAATGTCAAGGTGTACACAACTTACATTAAAAGTTCTGTATAGGAAACAGTACAGGAGGGAAATATAACAGTGAACAGTCCATCCCTTCTATTGTGTCTTCCACCATGGGAGCCTTTGGATTTCCACTCTGTCAGGGAGATCCTATAGTTAATAAATGATCCGTTTTGCGATCTTATCTTCGCTCTGAAGACATACCCGTAGGCCATCTGGCTCTCACTTTCCGCGCATCCAAAACCAATTGAAATGCAATCATCTGTGGCGAATGCACGCAACAAGACAATCAACTTATTTCCCGAAGCTACTGTTATGTTTCTTCCCCCATTCATCTGGCACATAAATATCGAAGCTAACTGTCTTATCCCGCTGAGTCTTGCCTAATTGAACCATAAATCGCCCTGGTTTTATGGCTGATATGCCTCTCTATAGAAGTAAACACAGCCTTAGCTTCACTAGGGTGTTACTGCACCATGGGAGGCGTTTGAGTTTGATAACGGTTTAGCAGAGTGTCGGTGAAGATAACGCTAATACGGCGTTGTTTATCCTGGTTAGGCTTATAAGGGTCATCCTGTGGATGTTTCTTCTGTGAGTTTTATGATACGACTGCTTTGACTGGACTACTTTTTGGCTCTGTCTCGTAAGCGATGTCTAAAACATGCGTTTTCCTCTTGTCCTCATTTCTTTATTATGTTTAACTAATATAAGGACAACATATTGTTTTTGCTCAGTTTCCTCTTCTTCTTCTTCAAACCAAAAAGGTCAATGACCTGGAACCAGTCGGCTGGTTATCTGATGTTACTAAATGAGTATGAAATAAGATAGGCTTACAGTATATAATCCTCATTAAAAGGTCTCTAGACATTCAGATATGAAACCCAATCCAGGACGATATTCAAAATTGATTCCTAGTCAGCTGAGTGTAGAATTACAACACTGTGGGAGGTCACCTTGCCGACTACTTGGTGTCAGCATCAATTGTCCACAGTTAAAGGTCTGGGCTGCACGGGCTTTACACGGGAAATCCTCTAGATGCATGTCTGAAGTGTGGGTTCCGGAGATAGCTAATGCCCGGTAGAGTGTTATCATCATTTCGTTCTGGTCCTTTCAACACTCGTCTGGATGTGCCCAACACAATTTCACCTCTCACGAGGAACTTTTTACCCCAACAACTCAATACATTTTGAAAACTGTCAAACGTTTCATGTAGCATCCGCTACTTTGTTGTATTGATTGTTATCGCCTATGAGGTATGAAAGAATTGATGACAATGGTTTCTGAACAGTTTTCATGATGAAAATTGTCTGGTGCAGGCAATTTTCAATCTTATACCTGCGCCAGTGCAGGTATGCAGAAAAAAAGAATTGCGAGGCTTGTGATGTTTAGTTGCAAAGTACGGCAGTGAGATCCTACGGGCATGCCTACTCTCCATGAAGTTAAAAGAAATAATATTATAATGACAATGGTTTCTGAACAATTTTCATTCTGAAAATTGTCTGGTACAGGTAATTCTTTAATGTTACCTGCGCCAGTGCAGGTATGCAGAAAACGTATTTTGAGCCATGTGAGGTTTAATTGCATAGTACGACAGTGAGACCCTACGTGTCTGGGCACGCCTACTCTCCATGATACATTACCCGTACCCGCTCAGTAACTCCGCCCCTTGCGTGGGAGTTCCGGTCTGCCGGAACATGTCCCGACTTCATCTCCTCGCGTCATTAACATCAGTCAGCCCTTTATCGAACAACTTCTATTTCCGTCCACGACTTTGAGTAGATTGCTAGAAGTAATCAGTTGCCCGGCATGGATTCCTCGCTAGCGGATCTGTTGAGGTCAGGAGCTTGTGCGGGAAAGCAGATTTGCAGGAGGCGTTTTTTTCGGCCTTAATTGCCTTGTGAACGAGAAGACGAGTCGTTAAAACTGATTTGCACAGCTCCCCACAACACGCTTGCAATCAATTTACTTAAAATAGGTTTACACGAGGACTATGGCCTTGGACTGACTTGCGTAAGGCAGAAAAGTAGTTTAGCGGCTTCTAATAACCAACTGAAGGGCATTTGAAGAGCAGGAAAGTTCATGTAGTTTGTAAACTACTTTGTGGAACAATCAAACTGTTCTTCGACTAAAACAATTAAACGGGTGGGTCAAATGCTCGTAGTTAGAGAACAGTTTAAATGTCGACATTTAAAATCAACGCACGCGGAGAAAACATTCACCAGATATACGGGCACTCTTCCAAGACTATGAACTTTTCTGGGATCACCATCAGACCTTTACTTAACCTATATTTTTCTTTCCTTCCTAAAAGGAGCCATTATTCAAGAGAACAACCATCATTATGGAGGATTTTTGACGGGTAGCTCGCGGCTTTCACGGATACATACTTATTGAACTATGGAAGCCTGTAATCAATATATGTAGTGGAAGAAAACTTTGGACAAAGCGGTTTAAACTTTAAACTTGTATCACTACTCGGGGCCTTTTCATTTGTAAAATGTCTTCCTCATTTCCAAGCCAGCATACGTCTTCAGCAGAATTATAGACGCCCTACATAAAAAAAATTAACCTGGTTAATGGGGAAGTATATATTGTCTGAAACTTGGGAACTTTTCCAAGATCACAAGACAAGCACAAAGCTTTTAAGTTAGTAGGTATTGGTTCTGAGGAAAATTTATTACCTTGTTGGAAGTCTGCGATCTATCTAGACAGAAAGCTTTGTTGGAATTTCGGGCACTGGTCCAAGATCCCAGCATCATGATGATCACCGGGGAGTATTTTTCAGTCCGCACAATTGTCAGGGGGAAAAGGAAAATGAAAAAGTTACGTGCGGACCTGTAAAATCCTGTTATCAGTCTAAATGGCGAAAAGCTTTTTAGAAAGTCTGGGATAACTTCCAACAGTACATGACAGGAATTTTAGTCACTATATTATCTATATAAGTTCTACGGATACTTGATAAATACGGTAATTGACACACACACAATCCCTAGGACAGTAGGGCCGTATTCCTAACATCTTATTCTGTTCTCACCGGGAACTTTGACGGCGACGCCTTACGTAATATTTCTAGATCACGTGCTTAAACTTGCATCAAGAACGCGCTGTCAACACACTGTACTGGGTTTGGGGTTCGAGGAGAAAACTTTGCGGATTTTTTTCACGTGTTATTCTGTTTTCACAGGTGACCTTGACTGCAGATCTGAGCATGGACAGATTCTGCGCTAAGAATAAGAACACTCCACTATAACTATACTGGAAACCTCATTGGAAATCCTGCCAATGACACAGGTTTAGAAATAAAGTTTGCGGATGTTCATGTTTTCACAGGTGACCTTGACGGCGACGTGTTTGACCTTGGCCGCTCTGAGCATGGACAGATTCTGCGCCATCGTGCTGCCGATCCGCTCCATGGGGTTCCGCCAGCCCAAGACGGCGGTGGCCGTCAGCATCTTCATCTGGATGGGTTAGTGTTCTCTCCTGCAGTTCTACGCACTTCTGATAGCGGGCACTAGTACAATAAACTATCCAGAACAGTGCTTGATCCTAATCCTAACCCATTCCGGCATAGACGTGGTGTTCTCTCCTGCAGTTCTGCTTACTTCCGATCGGTGGCAATGGTTTCCTTAGACTGGAAACCAGGCAGAAAAAAGTATATCGTGATCAAATATAAGGTCATACTGAAGAAAAAACAAGGATAGCAGATGTGGTTCTGGACACGATAGACTAACCAGAACCATGCCTGGTCCTAACCCTACATTCAGGCTATGACACGAAATCCCTCTGTCTCTTGGTGCGTTGCAAAGAAAGTCGTTTTTCCACCATATTGATAGTTCTTTCTCCTCCCAGTTTCCTTCCTCCTGTCCATTCCCGTGGCCATCGTGCGAGATCTCGTGACTGTCACGTGGAGAGGTCACGTGATGGTGCTGTGCCGAGAGCCGGGGTGGTCTGCGGCTGCGCAGAGTGCGTACGCGCTGTACACGGTGGTCTTCACGTACCTCATCCCGCTGGTCATGTGCATCGTGGCCTGCGCCTGGAACGTCCGTCATCTCTGCCGCCGGGCGCGCCTACAGGTCTGTATCTGTATCGGTATCGATATAGCCGGTATAACCGTCCTTCGGCATAACGCACCAACTTCTGTATCTGTATAGCCGGTATAACCGCCCTTTGGTATAACACACCAGCTTTGTATCTGTATAGCCGGTATAACCGCCCTTTGGTATAACACACCAGCTTTTGTATCTGTATAGCCGGTATAACCGCCCTTCGGCGTAACACACCAGCTTCTGTATCTGTATAGCCGGTACAACCGCCCTTTGGTATAACACACCAGCTTTTGTATCTGTATAGCCGGTATAACCGCCCTTCGGCGTAACACACCAGCTTCTGTATCTGTATAGCCGGTATAACCGCCCTTTGGTATAACACACCAGCTTCTGTATCTGTATAGCCGGTATAACCACCCTTTGGCGTACAATGGCGTAACACACCAGCTTCTGTATCTCTATAGCATGTATAACCGCCCTTCGGCGTAACACACCAGCTTTGCAGGCACGCGGCGCGGCGGCAGCTAGCTATATTGCACCGAACGACCTGTTACACCCAATCTTTGCACATTTAATACAGGTCTGGAGTTTTTTTAAACTAAATCAAAGCTTTCTAGTGATGATGCTCCAACTGTGCCTGCCTTCTATCATTCCTAGGCGTGTCGTCACGAGCAGCGCACGTTCCAGACCAGACGGGTGGCCATGATGGTTGTGGGGGTGGTCGTCCTGTTCGCTGTCTGCTGGCTCCCCAACAACATCATTAACCTCTACCGCCTCATGAACCAGGACTACAAAGCCAGCAGTACCTTCTACCGCATGAAGATGGCAGCGCTCTGCCTCAGCTACGCCAACTCCGCCATGAATCCGTTCGTGTACACGCTGGTGGGGGAAAACTTCCGCCGGAACCTTCGCAAGGCGCTGAAGCTCCGCTGCGGGCGGCAGAACAAGACGCCGCTGCGGGGGGTGATGTCGGTCAGGTACTGCAGCGAGAGGAGCCGCGTCACCGTGCTCTACAGCAGCAGCATCCGCGCCAAACGCCGGTGTGATACCATCCAGGAACATGGCGTCGAGGACAGGCCCAGGAACGGGTCATATTTAACTGTTTAAGGGTTTGTGGTTGTGAGGCTGACTATATCTTGTACTACTGGATAAAATACGGAAAATATTTCTGGACGTTATGAAATAAAGACTGAACTTTAACTTCCAACACTAGATATAGAATTGGGACTTACCCCAAATTTTCGGTTGACTCCATCAACCTTGTTCACGGAATGGACCCGTCTACTCTTGGAACGTGACGTCAGAGATACGTGACCGTAGTAAAATTTGGGGTAAGTCCCAATTCTATATCTAGTGTTGGAAGTTAAAGTTCAGTCTTTATTTGATAATGATTTGTACCAACACAGATGAACTTTCATGCTATTTCTGGACGTCTTGACCCACATTTGCCACCCTTCTCCAACGTCACTAATAAACTACTGACAGAACTCGTCAATAGAACTTGTCTCCGTATTTTATCCGGTAACTGTGTGAATTTTCTATGACTATTGTTTCACCTAAATGTCTAATCGTCACCAACGAGACTGACTATATATTCGATGGATTCAGTGGGACGTATATATTCTGATAGATTCTATCGTTCCGACGTAAATAGTGCGTAGTCTGCGTACAGAATATGAACTGTAGATTTTGTGACCTAAAATGGCCCACATGGTGACAGTAAGGATCGGAGAGTTTTCTTTTGATTTGCAAACAGATAATTCAAACGATGTTGGCTGGGTTAAAGCTATAAGTACTTACAGCCTTCTTGAAAGTTTTTATAAGCGTCGCTCTCTAACTTAGTCGCAGAAAAAGTCACACTTTAAAGACAGGAAGAAAAGACAAGAAGAAAGCATATGGCTGAGGACAAATATCTAGTATAAATTATATGAATAGATTGTCTGTTCGACATTACTGAAGCTTATTATAATGTGAGTCTGACATGATAGTGTTTATTTAAAGTCGCTAGGTGGCATTAACGAAGTGTGTCTCAACTACTGGTATAGTAACACTTCCCAACCACTATATTCCGTCGAACTTTCATATACATTCGACATACTGTCGAACCTGTACATTCTTGCGAACCTGTATATTCTGATACATTGTAGCGAACCTGAATATTCTGATACATTCTAGCGAACCTGTATATTCTGATACATTCTAGCGAACCTGTATATTCTGATACATTCTAGCGAACCTGTATATTCTGATACATTCTAGCGAACCTGTATATTCTGATACATTCTAGCGAACCCGGTATCCTGCACACGATACATTTTGGCGATCCTGTATATTCTAATGTATATTTTGTCGAAGCTGAATATTCTAATACATTCTGGCGATCTCATATCATATGTATATTCTGATACAACCTGTAGAACCTGTATATTAGATACATTCTGTGGAACCTGTATATTCTGTCATTACTGTAGTATGTACAGAGTATGGTTAGTGAACTTTGTGACCTAGTTGTGACCTTGTAACTTTACATTAAACGTTACGGATAGACGTGTTGTATTTGTGCCTAAAGTATATACATGTCCGTGTTGTAGATGACTTTTTATAATATAGAATAATCACGCAGGAAAACTGTTGCAAAAGTTGTATATATCATAATGTTGTTTTACCAAAAAGTGCGTTTATGAAAATTCAACGTGAGTGTTTTCATGTACTTATTCGGAATTATTCAATATATCACGATCAAGAGACGTACGATATTAAAGATGGCGATGTTCAAAAAGTTTAAATTTTAAATAAAATTCAGAGAATGTTTTGACGGCCTTTCTCTTTTTTGTCGTTTTCGTGTCATGGTGTTGCCGTAGTGGCCGGCTGCATCGCCGTATTGACCACCACTGCTGTGGAGACTCAACTGTGAGGAGCCCAATTGTAACTACACCTACATCGGAGAGACCAGTCGGCCCCTGAATGTAAGGTACACAGAACATTGCAGACCTAGCGCTAACGGCTACTCCTCAGTCATTTTCCACCACCTACAACACAACCAAAGATACTCCTTCAATCTCGAATCCACGGATATCTTAGACCCGCTGGTGGGAACGAGGAGTTAGAGAGGCAATATATAAAAGAATGTAGAAAACAACCCCACCCTCAACAGGGAAGGGGGAGGGGAGGTCTACGGGTAGAACTCTCAGGCACTTATTGTTTTTTTTTTACCAGCACAAAACTTACATGTTGCTTCTGGCGGTTTTCAATGATTCTCCAACATAGAATCACATTATAACTAATACATAATATAGTACGCAAAACTGGCTTGGCTAATTGATCATCATGAAGAAAAACATGAGGAGACAAAGGCTCAAACGAACAAAGAATTTTATAACAGAGCAGCCATCGTCTATACATGAACGTATTTGAGTCATTGCCGCATCTCGCTTTAAGTAATATATATATCATATGTACTAAGTCAAGTTCAAGTTCTGAAGTAAAATGATAATCTTAACTCAATAATCTTATCCATACATATATTTCCTTTGGATATATTTACAAGTATGTACTGCGTAATACGTAACTTTTTTAATTGTAATTCATGCGCTAATTCAAAGTAAAATTCTGATTTTAATTACATAAGCTCGTCATAATTTACATATAATATGTAAATCATTACATTATTAGATATGTTACGAAGTCTCACTAGAGTTTTTAAAATAGCTTGATAACCTGCTTCTTTTCTATAAAAGTATATCCTTGGATACAATTATGTACTTTGATTAGCAAAGTATGTAATGGTCTTTGGACTGTACATATCTTTAGTCGTCTTTGTTCCTGTCAGCTTGTGTTAAATAAGTGGTTGTGAATAAAACTTACTATTCAATAGGCTTCTTGTTTACATAGAGTGGCTAATAAGAAAAAACAGTAACAGTACTTTTGTAAAAAAAACCTGTATTATTGCAGCATATAAAATTGGTGGAAGTCGGAGGGTTGTCAGTCTCTCGCTACATCTTGGTTTCCTCTCCGCCTGGCTGAGAAAAATCGATCTCGAAACTCTGGATAAAAAAACAACAATATAACAATGGTGGATTAGTTAGTAATAGGAAGTATTCTAGTATGATCTGCTCCTTGATATGCATAAATAAGTTGATATTTCTTTCACATCAATCATGTGCAGAGGAAAGGAAAGGCCATTGAGGAAATAACTTAACTCCTAATGACAGGCGTATAGAATGGCAGTCATCAGTTAAATAATAAGTAAATAACATCATATGAGTCTACAAACGGATAAAGCAACAAAGTGAACATGAAAATCAGGCCTCACCTGGAAGTAGCGGTCATCATCCTCGGGGTAAACCTTGTCTGACTGAGTGGCTGGACGAGGGATTTTAAACTACGGGGAAGAAAAACATGGTTAGAATGGCGAAAAGGGCATTGCTCACTTTAACTACGTAAGAAGCAGAAAAGATTTTGTGGATGGGTTTGTATCGGAAATCAGAGTCATTGTCACTGAGTTTATAGCTGTGTAAAAGCTATAAGATGTTATCTAATATATTTCCAACGTGTAAGATATTCGAACGCTTCAGATCATTTTATTAGTTTCTGTTTCAATATGGGCAGGTTACGGTCATCCGCACCTGTTCTGTGGTCAGAGGTGAATGGTTAGATGTGAGAGGTTAGAGGTGAGGGGTTAGAGGTTATGGGTCAGTGACGGTAACGTACCTGTCCGGTCGGTAGGTTGTTGAAGAGCGGGTTCCACCTGGGCTTGCCACGGTCCCGGATAGAGTCAGTGTAGAGAGGAGACTTCGCCGGGAACAGCCCCATCTCAGATCCCTGGAGGAACATTCGGGAAAAAAATATCAGAAACCTGAAACATGATCTCCAAGCATAGATGGGAGTCTGGCTTGATTTGTAGGTACAGTCAAACGTTAATAATCTATCATAAGTCACATTGTGTTTGACAAATGTTATAAAGAAACTCAGCCTTCTCCCTGCTGCCTAACTCTATAACCTTCTCCCTGCTTGAACTTAGCTCTTTCCTTATGACCTCAATAAAAAGGGGCCAGCATGCCGATTTAATTTCAGCTTTCATGAATAAAGAATGGTTTAAACAAACAAACAAACAAACAAACAAACAAATAAACAAACAAACAATATCAATTTGGCTCCAAACAGATACCCTAGGATCCTTAATCCCTAGAGTTTAATGACAAATGGTTACAGTAGACAGGTGGCTACAGTTCCAAGGTATCCCGAATGTAGAGGTGATTTGACTGACTGCAGAAACTTGTTTACTGACCGTTGGCGGGTAGTCGTCCCTGCCCAGTGCAGCTCTGGGGAAATGCTGTCCATCTTCCGGGTTGTGCACGTTGTAGTTCTCCAGGACGATGCCAGGGGGCGCATATCTGTATCTACAAATCAGTAACAAGTGACAGGTGTCATCAATCATACATATTATGCCTTATTATAAGCATTATTGTGTGTATGTACATGTGTTTGTGTGTACATGTGTGTACATGTGTGTGTTTGTGTGTTGGTTGGGGATTAGGGAATTGTGACCTTAATAACCTCACCTTTCTTCCTTCTTCTCCTTAAAGACGTTTTTCTCCCGCTTGGCCATGCAGACAGCCACCATGAAAAGGAGAAGCAGCACTGCGCATGTGCAGCTCAAGGCGATGGCGATCACGTGGCCCTGTGTGAGCACGTGATCACACCGCTCGCCGCGGTACCAGGAGCCCATGGTCGCCGGGCAACTGTAAACAAACAAACAAACAGGTAACATCTTTACGATATGTGTCATATATTATCAACTTTGACATAGTCAACGCATAATCTCCAAGCAGATATTGATCTTTCAGTGGCTAGGTTGAAACCAACCGCCATGCAGCATCAATTAGACCACCGTTGATTGGGTCAGCTGTCAGAAAACGGATCCCGGAAGTTCAAAATCTTCCCCATCAATCTCTGATTGGAGAGTAGTGAAGAGCTTAGTTGACAAATACCATCGCACAAGAAAGTTTTAATCAGATCGTGGTTTCTGGACTTACGTGCATCTGGGGCCCTGGTCGACGATGACGTCACAGGTCCCGGCGGTGCAGTAGTCGGGCTCGCACACGCACTCCGCGATAAGCACGCCGGGATACTTCTCCGTCAGCTGACACCTGCCCCCCTCCCCACACCTCAGCGTGCAGACGGGCGACCCGCTGGCCGCGAGTTTATTCAGCTCTGGAATCGAGAGAAAAATCAGACTATATGATGGATAATAGCCTACACGCTCATCTGGCTCCCTTCCATTGGTATGAGTCCCCAAAAGCCCCATGGCCACTGAACACCTGTAAGCAACTTAATTGCTCACGGCTGAATTAGCTATTCACTCCCTTGGGGTGTAATGGCCAGGTGGGTAGAGTGTTCGCCTTGCATCCGGTAGGTCGTGAGCTGAGTTTGATCCCCGACCGATCGAGTCATACCGAAGACTTTAAAGAAAAGTACACACCACTACACACAGCACTACTAATGGAATAGCCCCTCTGTTGCAGTGATTGCACTGTTATATGGCCCAAGGGCTACTGAGCCCTATTTTTTTTAACTTTAAGGTAGTAAGTAACGAACAAACAAGATGCGAACCTTCAGCAGTCAGGGTTGTCGGCTGCACTGCCGTGACGTTGAGGCTGCTGTTGAAGCTCCCGGCTGTGATGGCCTCCGTGAGGTTCTCCCGCACCTGCTGGTGGATGACAGTGTCCGGCTCCGCCTGGTCCGCATCAAATACCGCCACGTACCGAGCCTGCACACTACCCGGCCTGCCGCGGGACATCACAGGATATAAAACGTTACAAACTAGAAAGGAGTATTATGTTTACATTCATATCTGGTCTAAGACAAACAACTGCAAAGTGTACTTCTCTCTAGTTTTATTCAAACAGAGTTAAACTCTGTCCTGCTCCTTGCTACATCAAGTAATCCAACACCACAGGGTGTCTGCTACAGCCTCAATTACCATGGTGACAGCCGTTTTGGTCCGTGTCATTGACCTTATTTGTTTTGAGAATTAAGAAGAATTTGTTTCCCTTGAAGATAAACGTGACAAAAGTAAAGGTCCTGTAGCCATATCCAGAACCGTGTCTGGGACACATGTACGTCTTTGGATACCCAGAGACAACTACTAATATCTAGAACAGTGCCTGTTTTTACACTATTAAACCTCTCAGGCGTAGAATTAGACAGACATGGTTCTGGATACAATAGACCGGGGACCGACAAAAGCTGTTATAAAGTCTGGCCTACATATACAAACTTACTAATGGTCACTAATCCAATGTTGAGTAATGAAAATCAGCTACTAAGATCAAACTTACACAAATCCGATGATGATGATCTGGAGGAATCCACGGATCCTGATGTGGACAGCTGTAAGCTGAGAAAGCAGGGATTATTATAGTCAAAATATCGAAATGCATCGTCAGATCTTGTTAACCGTTAATCTTGAAAACCACATTTGTTAAGCAACGCTAGTACATTTTAGCCTGGGTATCATCCTATTTGTATGCCGAGGCTCCCATACTCGCTATTATAAACTAGTTGTTAGGGAGAGAGCATGAGAGCCCCGGCATACAAATAGGATGATACCCAGGCTAAGAAAATCTAACATTGTATGAAAACCTAAAAAGATACATAAGTCATAATCAACGGAGCAGGTCTATTCTAAGACACAGTTACCAGTAGGTAGCAGACACCGCGGGATACCAGCAATTATAAAATTTGGCAGTGCATAAAGTGACCAAAACATCGACAGAGAGACTCAGATTAGTCGCACAACTAAAAGCCCAGTTTATGCACAGACAAGCTCCCATGTAACAGAAGATCAAATTACTCTTGATTTAGACTTTTTTCTCTGACCACACGTTTTTATGTGTTTTCAAGCAGTGGACTGGTAAGACTACATCCTAACGAAAATGATGTACCACCCACCGACTCTGTCACTGCGACGGACAGTTCTAGAAAAGCGCGGGAAGTTTCGTCCCGCAAGTCGTCTCTAAAAGTCCGCTGCATCGTCAGGACCGACGGCACGATCTTTCGTTCGGGTTCTGCGGTAAAGAACGTCAAAGCAAAACAACTATATCAACAAGAACATGACACCTTAATACTTATATATCAAAATAATTTTTGTAATCTGTTAACATTGTCGACTCTAACGAAAATAAAAAGGTAATAGAGTATGACAAAATCCTGTCTTCACATAGTTACAAGTCAAAGAAGCTAAAATATATTACGATGCTTGTATATACATACGAGGTCGGGCTTTTGTTGTAGCAACTTCTGCTGATGTAGTGGCCGCTTGTGTAGTGGCCGCTGGAGCTGCTGTAGTGGCCACAGGTGCTGCTGTAGTGGCCACTGGTGCTGCTGTAGTGGCCGCTGGTGCCGCTGTAGTGCCCCCTGGTGCTGCTGTAGTGGCCGCTGGTGCTGCTGTAGTGGCCGCTGGTGCTGCTGTAGTGCCCACTGGTCCTGCTGTAGTGCCCCCTGGTGCTGATGTAGTGGCCCCTGGTGCTGCTGTAGTGGCCCCTGGTGCTGCTGTAGTGGCCGCTGGTGCTGCTGTAGTGGCTGCTGGTGCTGCTGTAGTGCCCCCTGGTGCTGCTGTAGTGCCCCGGCCCCTGGTGCTGCTGTAGTGGCCGCTGGTGCTGATGTAGTGGCCGCTGGTGCTGCTGTAGTGGCCGCTGGTGCTGCTGTAGTGGCCCCTGGTGCTTCTGTAGTGGCCGCTGGTGCTGCTGTAGTGACGGCTGGTGCTCCTGTAGTGGCCACTGGTGCTGCTGTAGTGGCCACAGGTGCCCCTGTGGTGCCCGCTGGTGCTACTGTAGTGGCCACTGGTGCTGCTGTAGTGGTCGTTGCTTCGAGTGGTCATTGCTTTAGTGGTCGCTGCTGTAGTGGTCGTTGCTTTAGTGGTCACTGCTGTATGGTCGTTGCTTTAGTGGTTGCTGCTATAGTGGCCGCTGGTTTAGTGGTCGCTGTTGTAGTCGTCGTTGCTTTAGTCGTCTCTGCTGTAGTGGTCGCTGGTATGGTGGTCGCTGCTGTAGTGGTCATTGCTTTAGTGGTCGCTGCTGTAGTGGTTGCTGGTTTGGTGGTCTCTGCTGTAGTGGTCGCTGCTTCAGTGGTCATTGCTTTAGTGGTCTCTGCTGTAGTGGTCATTGCTTTAGTGGTCGCTGCTGTAGTGGTTGCTGGTTTGGTGGTCGCTGCTGTAGTGGTCGCTGCTTCAGTGGTCATTGCTTTAGTGGTCGCTGCTGTAGTGGTCATTGCTTTAGTGGTCGCTGCTGTAGAGGTTGCTGGTTTGGTGGTCGCTGCTGTAGTCGCTGCTGTAGTGGTCGTTGCTTTAGTGGTCTCTGCTGTAGTGGTCAGTGCATTAGTGGTTGTTGCTTTAGTGGTCATTGCATTAGTGGTCATTGCTTTAGTGGTTGTTGCTTTACTGGTCTCTGCTGTAGTGGTGGCTGCTTTAGTGGTCGTTGCTGTAGCGGTCGTTGCTTTAGTGATCACTGCTGTAGTGGTCGTTGCTTTAGTGGTCGCTGCTGTAGTGGTCTCTACTGTAGTGGTCGCTGGTTTGGTGATCGTTGCTGTAGTGGTCGTTGCTTTAGTGGTCGCTACTGTTGTGGTCGCTGGTTTGGTGGTCGTTGCTTCAGTGGTCATTGCTTTAGTGGTCTCTGCTGTAGTGGTCGCTGGTTTAGTGGTCGTTGCTGTAGTGGTCGTTGCTTTAGTGGTCTCTGCTGTAGTGGTCATTGCTTCAGTGGTCGTTGCTGTAGTGGTCGCTGGTTTGGTGGTCGTTGCTGTAGTGGCCATTGCTTTAGTGGTCTCTGCTGTAGTGGTCGCTGGTTTAGTGGTCGTTGCTGTAGTGGTCATTGCTTTAGTGGTCTCTGCTGTAGTGGTCGCTGGTTTAGTGGTCGTTGCTGTAGTGGTCGTTGCTTTAGTGGTCTCTGCTGTAGTGGTCGTTGCTTCAGTGGTCGTTGCTGTAGTGGTCGCTGGTTTGGTGGTCGTTGCTGTAGTGGCCATTGCTTTAGTGGTCTCTGCTGTAGTGGTCGCTGGTTTAGTGGTCGTTGCTGTAGTGGTCTTGCTTTAGTGGTCTCTGCTGTAGTGGTCGCTGGTTTAGTGGTCGTTGCTGTAGTGGTCGTTGCTTTAGTGGTCTCTGCTGTAGTCGGTCGCCTGGTTTGGTGGTCGTTGCTGTAGTGGTCACTTGCTTTAGTGGTCTCTGCTGTAGTGGTCGCTGCTTCAGTGGTCATTGCTTTAGTGGTCTCTGCTGTAGTGGTCGCTGGTTTGGTGGTCGTTGCTGTAGTGGTCGTTGCTGTAGTGGTCGTTGCTTTAGTGGTCTCTGCTTTAGTGGTCGTTTCTGTAGTGGTCGTAGCTTTAGTGGTCTCTGCTGTAGTGGTCACTGGTTTGGTGGTCGTTGCTTCAGTGGTCATTGCTTTAGTGGTCTCTGCTGTAGTGGTCGCTGGTTTAGTGGTCGTTGCTGTAGTGGTCGTTGCTTTAGTGGTCGCTGGTTTAGTGGTCGTTGCTGTAGTGGTCGTTGCTTTAGTGGTCTTTGCTGTAGTGGTCTCTGGTTTGGTGGTCGTTGCTGTAGTGGTCGTTGCTTTAGTGGTCTCTGCTGCAGTTGTCGTTGCTGTAGTGGTCTCTGCTTTAGTGGTCGCTGGTTTAGTGGTCGTTGCTGTAGTGGTCGTTGCTTTAGTGGTCTCTGCTGTAGTGGTCGCTGGTTTAGTGGTCGTTGCTTTAGTGGTCTCTGCTGTAGTGGTCGTTGCTGTAGTGGTCGCTGCTTTAGTGGTCTCTGCTGTAGTGGTCGCTGCTGTAGTGGTCGTTGCTGTAGTGGTCGTTGCTGTATTGGTCGCTTCTGTAGTGGTCGTTGCTGTAGTGGTCGTTGCTTTAGTGGTCTCTGCTGTAGTGGTCGTTGGTTTAGTGGTCGTTGCTGTAGTGGTCGTTGCTGTAGTGGTCGTTGCTTTAGTGGTCTCTGCTTTAGTGGTCGTTGCTGTAGTGGTCGTTGCTTTAGTGGTCTCTGCTGTAGTGGTCGTTGCTGTAGTGGTCTCTGCTGTAGTGGTCTCTGCTGTAATGGTCGCTGGTTTAGTGGTCGTTGCTGTAGTGGTCGTTGCTTTAGTGGTCGCTGCTGTAGTGGCTGATGCTGTTGAGGATGTGACAAGAAGGCCACACTGATTCAATTTTTAATGACATATCCGCGCGCGCATTGATTTGTGCCCGTTCTCAAAAAAAGAAAGAAAGGAAAATTCACCTCCTCTGAGGCTCTGGCCTGGGTGCCATCCTCCGTAGTCCATGGTAGCTGGCGACAATAGGGAGCTGGCGGAGGATGCACGGAACTGAAGATCTCAGTACGGGGCCAATTTTTGAATGCCACAAAAGGTCACCATGTGCTGGCTTGTCGTAAAGGTCGCTATGTATTACCGCAAATTCACAGTACAAGATTTGTATTTCTTCATCCTGTGGTTTAGCAGCATTTTGTGCGGCTGGAGTTTTTTTATTCGCCCGCGCGCACTTGTTTGGGGGTCTTCAGAGGATGTCATCCATAAAATTAAGGTAGTGTGGCCTAAGGGCTAACAAAAGACCTGTTCCTGTTTACTCAATGGTGCAACGTTCTTCAAACGTATATCCATGACTTTACGCACTTAAAAGAAAATTTATACCATTATAATGCATAGAAGGGAATTCAACAAACGGTTGGAAAGGAAAGCTTCAAATAAAATACAAAATGATGATGAAAAGTTGAAACTGGTAATTACCTTGTAGCAGCAGTGCAGAGACCATCAGAAGCCCAAACGTCAGACTGTTACACGGAGCCGCCATCTTGTCTGTCCTGGTGAACACTTCACAAGCCGACACGTTCTCTGTGATCACTCGTATGTGTTCTGTTTTGTACTACTAGTACTGCAGAGAAAACCTATGGAAGAAAGCACTTTTACGTCAAGGTTCTGCATGCAAAAGGGAAGACCACCGAAGTTGCTTGGGCCGGCTTTCAGAAAACGGTATCGTTGTACAAAATCTTATCATTATTCATTCTCTATATCATTATTAGGAGAGTTTATTCATTTAATTGCAACACAAGACAATGTACAGTTCGAATATACAGACAGTGCAAGTTACGAATGGTGACAAGTGGCTCCTCTAAGAACTGTTACGAAATACAATCTAAGCTTTTTTTGGCTTGATACTGTCTGATATATATTTTTCACTGCAAAGACACAACATGCTTTTACACTCAACGTGAACTACTTAGTAATCTACATTTCTTGGTCATGGTCAATACCATGCATCACGGACGAAGATCAAATAATTTAGGAGCCACTGTGGAACTAGCTTGCCTTTGCGGTCAAGCTAAGCTGAGCCACGCCTGTGTTTATGTTTCCTCTAACAGCCCATATCAACAGCACAGAGTCAAGCAGTACATTTCAAACTTGCCAAAATTTTAAAATTGGCTGAAGCTTGCGAGAGTCCTCTGTTTCGTTTTCCGTGATCTTTTTTTTCGTTGAAGATATAGTTCCTAATTTGATGTGAATAAGGGAAATAACTTGAACTCGCCCAAACATCCGCTAGTAAGCCGTTTTACCTGCATATTTTAGACAGGTGTCGTGTGTTTTGATATGCTCCCCGAGGCGAATTTTTACTTTATTTGTTTATCTTGTCATGTTGTTATGTTACGTTGCATTGTTGACGAGACCAGCTGAGAGTTCAACAGAAAAGTCTGTGCAGATTTTGCCCCTCATGAAAACGACAATCCAGAATAAACATACTAGTACTCCAATCCTCTTTGAATGCAGACTTAAGTTCACGTTTGCACTGCAGTGTTTCTGCCTTTTTTTTATATCTGATCAGTGCATGTAGCAAACATAACGGACAAAACGTGTAGTGATCATAGATAGGGTAGCTGTAATTTAGGGGTTGCATTGAAGTATCTGAACCGAAATAAATCTATGTGAAAACTATCCACAATAGCACACCTGCACGGAAGTAAAACCAACAAAGCCTCATTGTTCCCTTCACTTCACGTCACTGTACGGGTTTCCTGCTACCGTTACCCTAGCTTCCTGTCGTAATAACTGTGTGCAAGTCATCTTAATGGGCTTATCTAGTAGGCTATTAAATCTCCAAGCAGGCTAATCTCCAAGCAGATCTTTTAGTGGCTGCAAGAGAGTATTAGATTGACAGGAAAGTATCTATTTGCCACCTATTTGACTGATATATAAAAAAAAAGATACCAGTATAAAGAAGAAAGGCCGATAAAAAATGCCTAAAAATAAGCTATAGCTTAAACTTCTGCTTGGATAGTAACACTATACGCCAAGCAATGACTACAAACGTTGACATACAGACATAGGGTGCCAGTATGGCTTCATTTGCTAATGTACTGGATAAAATTCCTAAAAAAAAGTTCAAATTACATGAACAGATGTTTTTGCTGCGAAAGGATAGTCCAGACGCATTAAGGGCGGCTCAGGTAACCGTACGTTAGCTTTCGTCTTAACGTGAGAGACATAAGGACTTACCTGTGCACACCTGTGTCTCACCTGTAGCGTCTGCAGGTGTCTCCTGGCGCGGGACGCTCCACTGCCACGGCCGACACCCAAACTCAAGCGTTGCGCAACACCCCACTCTAGTCCCTAGTACCGATGAGATTTGCTTCTACAGTAACGCCTGGATTTTCCCGTGCCGACGTGAATGTTACGAGTGGCCCGGCCGGTACTGACTATAAAATAATCCACAGAAGTGTCCAAACTGACTACAGGAGTGAAATCTCGCCACACCTGTATATAGAGTTGAAGTTGGGCGTTGGCGCGCGCAAACGCAGTGAGCTTCCCATACTGGGGGTCTAGGGGACCGTGACTCCGAGTGTCGGTTTGCGATCTGTTCACGAGATAAAAAAAAAACACGCACGGGGTAGCCTCTACCAGGATGCATGGTGGCTACCAGCAACAGCACAAGGGAATAGCCTGTATCAGGCCTGTCGGTGGTAACCTACTACAGCACTGGAGAGATAGCCGCTACCATGCTTCATTGTGTTTTAACCCAGCTACATTACGGGGATAGCCTCTACCGGGGATAGCCTTTACTGTGGCTACCAGTTACAGCACACGGGGATAATCTCGCACAGGCCTCAGGGTGGCCACCATCTACAGCACATACATGTAGCGACTGGGATGGAAAATCATGTGCTCATCCGTTCATGATTTAACATTGTTATTTTATATTTACCCTATGTAACCGCAAAAACAGGATCGAATGGCACTCATTCATCTATTTATTGAGATTTACCACATGTTAAGAAAGATTGACAGAACATGTGATTATCAACTTTTCAAGATGTCAACCAAACACCGGACTGTCTATGTATGTTAAGTGTGTAGTCTGAGCGTGAAGGGTGCAGCTTGACCGTGAAGGGTGACACATACCTGTCCTTTGACAGATTTTGGGTCGGAAATGCTTTGTCATTCTGACATCCTCTCCTCACCGAACCGTGGCCTGACCTTGTCAACTCCACATTCTCATGCAGGCATTTCTTAGCGTTAACAGGGTAACAATACCTCTTCACATCTGTACATACCTGTGCTATTGCCTGCTGTGTAAATAACGGTGTGCTTTGAATGTATACGTTCTTTTATTATGGCACTTTGGAAAATACGTGTTTTCAGTAAAAAAAACACGAATCATATTGAGTCTAGAATGCGGGATGACGATGAGTAAAATATTGTAAATGTGGAAAAAAAGGCAGAAAATACAGATGAGATAAATCGTTAAGAGCTACAGCTTTTATAAACTGCGAAAAATCAGTAACGATATCTTGTATCTTTCCTGACCAAACATCTGCTTGTAGATTATGGTTACAAACACTTCGCAGAAACATCTATCATTATTACTAAGCGGTTTCTGTAAGCTGGTGTACCTGTTGGTACCAACCTCACCTATCTCTCACATCCCTTCCCGGGGTCAACGAACCCGGAAGTTAACCAGAAAGCTGCCGTCCGTTCCGAGAAAAATCTAAGACTATCTGTCTCGTGTTTACCTGGCTTTTGTCTGACGTCAGTGGTGGATTAAGTCGGGACGGTTTAAACTTCTCGGCGTGACCGTCCTGTGACAGGTAGAGACGGTGCCGAATAAGACCACACCAACTTAATTTTATGGATGACATCCTCTGAAAACGCCAAACAAAGCTGGTATCGTGAATTTGCGGCAGTATTTAGTGACGTATATGACAGGCCGGCACATGTTGGCTTTTTGCGGAATTTATGAATCGGCACTGCGCGTATGTACGTATGATTTTTTTTTGTGTTTTTTTTTTTTGTTGTTTTTTTTAGAACAGTCGAAAATCAATGCCAATGCATGCGCGGTTGTCATCCATGAAATTAAGTCGGTGTGGCCTAACAATCAAAGCATGGGAACACGTCATGGCCTGGATATCAGGTCGTTTCCTTGGTCTACTGAGCTCATCGATATCGGGTGCATGGCCGGGCCAACATGCTAATATTTATAACCTGGATGCCAGACTGTTTCCAGGGCCTACACACACCAGATCCTCGGCTCCAGGTCCAACATGGCCCAAAGCAAATTTCACCCGAGCCGGATCAGCTGACCCGCACTGGTACTGGCCTACATGAATTCCGCTTTTTGGACCAAAGTCGCGAGTTTGAATCCCGGGCGCAGCCTTCGGACGTCAAGCCGGAGATTCCCTGTTTAGGTAAAGTCACCTAAACATGGCCTGTGTATGCCCTGGAGCCTAAGAATGGCCTGTGTTGGCCCTTGAAACAGAGCTCACGCAGCTTTCTGGGTGACAACTTGAAAAGGGTGACAATCACCTGTTAACCAACCAACAAACGAACAAACAAAGAAATACAACAACTTTGACCCGCGGTACCCAGCCATGTGACATTTTGGTTAACTCGGTGAACCTCATCATTATTCTGACGCACACAAGTTGTTGACATAACCACTCTAAGGACGACACTTTCGTCTGAGAGCGTGACGTTACCATGGTAACCGCGCCTTTGGCGAGAACACAGGGTTTGTATACCCCCCCCCCCTTCCCTTTCCTTCCCCACCAGTACACGCACGAATCTCAAAAGACACGCAACAAAGACTTTTATGATAACGCTTACTAGCAGCGCTGTCATACATTGATACACTGGTTCATCCATTGTAGGTCGTAGTACGATTTTAATGCCGTATACTTTTCAGCAGTCTGTGACAGAACCAACCACTGACACAAAGAAAAGACAGCTGAATTTGTCAGAACCAGTGCAAGACGGTCACACGAATGCCTTTAGCATGCAACTGCACGACGATCGCACAACGTACATGTACATGTATGTAACAAGACAATTGAATTTCGCAGGACACATATGCATGGCTGTCCTGTAGCTTGCGATCGCACGACCGGTAGTATGTGACCGTCCGACCTGTACACACTGCATTCCGCCATGTTTACGGCATCTTCCTTCAACTGGCGACCTTACATGTCATCCGAGACGCAGATCGTCTCTAAGATGACCTTTAGCTGGTGTCTCCGTGCAGGTATCCCGTTTCCAGCCCACACCGCGGCAGGTGAGGTATGTGTCCTGGTCTCGGGTCGGCGGAGCCGGGACTGGGAACTCCCTTCTCTGACGTCACGCAGGTGAGTCTGTTTCTCACCTGTCCGCTCCATGACGTGACTTGTGAACACCTCAGCTGTGTGTGCCAGGTACGTACACAGACGACAAGTGGAGGGAAAACAGAACAATCATTGTATTTTATGTGTTTATATAGCACATGAAAACTGACCATGCAAACACTCACTGTGTTACATGTGTTCCTGTACGTATATGTGTAAGAATGTATGGATTTTCTGAGACTATATGTTTATGGGTACGCATTAGGACTTCAATAATGTAATCTGCATTTTGTTATATTCTATCTGACCCTTACCTCTTACCTCATGACCTCAATGAGAAGCAGTGAGCATGGAGGCCGATTCAAGTATTTCACGAGTAAACAAAGTCTCAAACAAACAAACAAACAACATGTATTTTTGTCAAATTTTGGCTCCAAAACGTTAACCATGACGGGTGTACACGGTACGGTCTACCGGAGCAAACATTACTGGCGTCAAACCCTTTCATACATGCCACACAGGCGTCGGTAAGAGCTGGGGTGTTTAGACAAAGTCGTCACGCAAAACTTGCCCGGACGTCAGTAGACAAATATGTTTCTTCTCTAGTCTCGTGAAGATGAACAGACCATAACTTAGAGTTAAGTCAAGAGTCAACAAAATAAAGCAAAGCAAACAAACAAAAGATTATTCTTCTGTTTGAACAGATCAACTGTTTATCTTGTACAATAACTTTTATTCACTCATGCCGACCGTCCGTATCAAAATATAACATCCTTGCCGGACCGCTGGATTCTGTACTGCAGTTCTTCAGACTACCGCAAGAGGCGCTGGTGCCTATCCCTGCGTTATGCGCGCTCCTAGTCACCTACAAGTACGTGGCATATCACTACTGGTCGAAGGTTATTGTGCCGGTCTTTGATCAAAATGTACTGTACATTTGTTAATGCAGAATAACTCTGGAGTACGCAAATAGAACATCTGAGTCTACTAAAGATTGTTGTAGTGCTGTTCACTAGACACCTTTGGCTTCTACATGTATATTGTACTTTTTAATCATGGGTGAACAATATAGACAAATTCGTCGTTCATTTAAAGTACTAGTCGAAAGCAGTTACGTCAGGAATATTTGTACACGGGAACCATTACCTCATCAATGTCTGTGCGCTCATATTTGAAGTGAAAAATTATCAAGCATGAAACGTCGGAATTACATTTGCAGTAGACACGCGAAACTATGAGACCGTCCCTAAAATGTAGTATTCATCTTTAAAAAGACGCGCCAACTTCTGAGACAGTCCCATAACGTATTAAAGCGGCTCACAGAATGGATTTTATTGCTTGTATGGATTATCGCATTAACGCCATTCCATACGGCTAATGGTAAGTTTACATGAATCCAAACCAGCACCGCACCAGTATATAAGGTATAACTATAAGCTCAGGGTTCAAATTTCTTGCGTTGAAACGGCGGGAATGGCTTTTGATTGACAGGTGGTTGTGACGATAAGGGGAGGAAAATAACCTGTTCATTCCGCGCGCATCTGAGGTAACTACTATATTAGCAGCCAGCAAATCATAAACCTCTCCCAGCGGTGACGTATAGCCGCGTCCTAACGGTCCGCTAAGGTGTGCCGGATGACGCGTTAACGGGCAGTTTTGTGCGGCGGCTATGGGGCCGTGTGTAGCGTAGGCGGCCCGCTGTAGGGCCCAGGGAAGGGGGATCCAACCCGCGCGCCGAGCTGGGACCGAGCTGGGCACGAGCACGGGGCGCCGGACAGTCGTCCACGGGGCACACCGCGACCGGACACCGCGGGGGTTTCCACCCCAGGTCGGTGGAGTGGAGCCGGGCTTGTGCGGGGCCGTGATTTCAGGTAACGGTCCAATTTGTACAATAATCGCTACACGTATAGCAACCTAAACGGCCTGATTTCTCCAGCCGGACCCTTTAAATACTGTAGAGCGAAAATGGCTTGCTTCCTCTTCTACTTCATTTTCTAGAACTGTTTTGAACCATTTCC